TACCCACATCAATTTTTCATATATTTTATATATTTATATATATATATATTACATATATGTATATATGAAAAATATATCAAAAATGTATGTGGGTACTCAAATGAAAGGTCTCGATAAGTGTAATGTCGGGATGAGCTTATATTTTTAAAAACGTCAATAGTTAAGAAAGTACAGTGCAATTTAACAAAATTCATTATTTAATAACGTAAAATTTCATTTATTTATAAATTATAAAATTAAATTTCTTATCAGAAATCCCGCTGTTTCACGTATTGAACGCGAGAATAACCTTCGGAAACATATTTGGACTGGACCAAGAAGTGCCGCATGTAAAAAGAATCCAAGAGGGTCCCCGAACGACGTGCATTGTTGATGATATTTGCTTCGAAGCACCAGCTGGGTACGTCAAACTCGGTGCGCTCGATCGCACGCAGTTCAGTATTGAGGAAGAAGACGATTTACTCCAGTTTGCTATCCAGCAAAGTTTGCTCGAGGCAGGCAGTGAAAGGGACGAGGTGGATATTTGGGAAGCTTTGAGAGCCCAAAAGCCCTCGAGACCCACCACTCCGAACATGTTGCCCGAAGAAGAGCGACAACTTCAAAGGTATCTTCTTTTAAAATATTAGTTTGTCTTTGCATGCTTTATTCGTTTAATTCTTTTATTATTTTGCATGGTTTCGATTCTCGTCAGTCAGGTGGGTCAGGGTTTATTAGAAATATTAGAATTTTTTTTTTTTTAATTATTAATTTAAGTCTGATCGCTGTTTAATTATTGAAAAATATTATGTTAAAAAATTTAAGAGTTAACTGAAGTTAGTTACAAGTGAAGAAATAGAAGCTTATTTCTCATTGGTTAATTCAAAAAATAAGTTTTCTTATTGGTCCCGCGGCAAATATGAACGGTTTCCGCCATTTTGTAAATTTTTTACGGCCATTTTGTTGAGCCCAGACGCGTTAACAATATTTTGAAGATTGTTCTTTAATTACAGCAGTAAAATTAATAATTTTATGAAATAATTTAATGTTTAATTCTTTAACCTTAAAAAAATGATTTTTTATTGGTTAATTTAAAAAATAAAATTTTTTACTGGTTGCGCGGCAAATATGAAAAGTATCCGCCATTTTGTAAACTTGTTCGGCCATTTTGTTGAGCCCAGAGGTTCTAACAATATTTTGAAGATTATTCATTAATTAAAGCAGTAAAATTAATAATTATTAAAAATTTTTCATTAAAATAATTTAATAAATAATTTTTAAACCTTGAAAAATAAAATTTTTTATTGGTTAATTTTAAAAATAAAATTTTTTACTGGTCCCGCGGCAAATTTGAAAAGTATCAGCCATTTTATAAACTTGTTATCAACCATTTTGTTGAGCCTAAACGCGCTAACAATATTTTGAAGATTATTCCTTAATTAAAACAGTAAAAATAATAAATTACATAAAATTTTTTATAAAAATAATTTAATATTTAATTTCTTAACCTTAAAAAATTGTTAATCATCTATCAGGCTTTATTAATTCAAGTCTAATTAATGTTTAATTATTAAAAAATTCTAGGTTAAAAAATTCAAGACTAAACTGAAGTTAGTTACAAGTGAAGAAATAGAAGCTAGTTTCTCATTGGTTGATTTAAAAAAATATAATTTTTTATTGGTCAATTTCAAAAATAAAAATTCTTATTGGTCCCGCGGCAAATTTAAACAGTATCCGCCATTTTGTAAACTTGATTCGGCCATTTTGTTGAGCCCAGAGGCTCTAACAGTATTTTGAAGATTATTCCTTAATTAAAATAGTAAAATTAATAATTATACAAAATTTTTTATTCAAATAATTTAGTAAATAATTTTTAAACCTTAAAAAAAAAAATTTCTTATTGGTTAATTTTAAAAATAAAATTTTTTATCGGTCCCGCGGCAAATTTGAAATGTATCCGCCATTTTGAGAATTTAGTACGGCCATTTTGTTGAGCCCAGAGGCTCTAACAGTATTTTGAAGATTATTCTTTAATTAAAGCAGTAAAATTAATAATTATTAAAAATAATTTAATATTTAATTTCTTAACATCGATCAGACTTTATTAAATATAATAAATTAATTTTATTAAGAAGATAATTAATAAAATTGTAAATTTTTTTAGAGCAATACAAGAGAGCCTGGAGTTTTATCAAGAGACCTCGGAGTCCCTGGGCGAAAATGGTAGGACCAGTTCGAGATCAAACGTCCTGGAAGACCAGCGAGACCACGATCTGATTCCAGACACTGCTGAGCAATTAAAGCTCGCACTGAGGCTCTCTGAGCAGCAGCAGCTGGAGGACGAGCAAAGACGGCTGCTCGAAGAAGAAACCTTTCGTCAGGTGCTTGAGCTTTCGCTTACTGAAAAGTGAAGCTTAAAAAACTACCCGAGGTTAAAAAAAATAAAAAGCCAAATTTTAGGAGATCTTCCTTTGCGGAAAATAAAAAAAAAAATAAATTTAATTAAGTAAATTATTATTTGATGCTTTTTAATAAGTATCTGGAGAAAATGGCTGCCGATATTTAAAATTTTATACTGCAATTAGCGAATATAAAAGTAAATAAATTAATATCTTAAATAGGTAAAGTATCGGAATCTAGAATAGGTATGAACGAATTAAAGATTTTATTCATTTCATAAATATTTTATATGGAGTGATGAGAGGTTAATCGTTGATAGCTACGGGTTTATATTAATTAATTATTGTAATAAAAAATCAATTAATTATTTTCGGTTATTATTATTGATTATTTTTGAGAGATAAACACCAAACGATAATGGTGTTTGCGTGAATTCTAATTGATTGAAAGTAAATAAATTATATATATATAAATATGTAAGTTACCGCTAATTGTCAATGTAATTGACGCGAATTCATTAAATAATTCTTTATTTCAAATTTAATTGTTTTATTTTGCTCCCTTAAATTTTTTCTTGTATTTTGTGAAATATTGACATTTTTCAAGATATAAGCTCATTCTGATGTTATACTCATTGAGACCTTTCATTTGAGTACCCACATCAATTTTTCATATATTTTATATATTTATATATTCCATAAATACCATATATATAAAATATATAAAAAATGACATGTGGGTACTCAAATGAAAGGTCTCGATGAATGTAACATCGGAATGAGTTTATATCTTAAAAAATGTCAATAGTTAAGAAATTACTTTGTATT